CTGGGTGGGCGTGGCCTAGTTTTTTTTTTTTAACTTTTAAAAGCATTTTTTCTACAACCTTAAGAGGTTGCAGAAAAAAATGTTTTTAGAAGCCTCTGACGATCAGGCAAGTCAGCTGGGATCGCCAGAGGCTTTTAAAGGCATTTTTGTAGAAAAAAAATGATTTTAAAAGCCTCTGAGATCCCAGCTGAGCCGTGCGATCATCAGAGGCTTTTTTTTTAACTTTTAAAAGCATTTTTTCAGCTGAAGAGGTTGTAGAAAAAATGCTTTTAAAAGTTAAAAAAAAACCCTGATGAGGTGGGTGGGGTAAGGGAGTGGCGACCTGGCCGGGGACCAGTTTGGGGGCGTGGCCAGCCAATGTTATTATTGGTTCTCTGAACTACTAAAAATTTTTACTACCGGTTCTTGCGAACCGGTGTGAACCGGGAGCAACCCACCACTGTTTTCTTGCTCATCCTTTTGTTTTTCTTATTAAAGTTTGGTCTAGTCATTAAGGCACTATGCTAGGAACCAGGAGACTGTGAGTTCTAGTTCTGCCTTAGGCATGAAGGCTGGCTGGGTAATTTTGGGCCAGTGCCTCTCTCTCAGCCCAGCCCAGGATTGTTATTTTTGGAAGAATAAGGAAGGAGTTTGCTGCCTTATAAAATAAATAAATAAAACAAGACAAATCTAATTTTTTTTAAAAAAAATCTTTTGAAGAGAATGTTCTCAGTCCATAGAGTTTCACTTGGCATATTTCAGCTATTTCTACAGAGAAGTTAAATCCAAAGGTCAAACCAGATACACAACCTTAAATTAAGATTTCCAGTGTCCACTTTAGGACACTGGACCTGGTTATTTACGGGACCACCTGCTACCACCAATAACCTCCCACCGGCCAGTACGCTCCCATAGACAGGGGCTCCTCCAGGTGCCGTCGGCCAAACAATGTCGGCTGTCGGCCCCTAGGGGGAGAGCCTTCTCTGTGGGGGCACCTACGATCTGAAACGAGCTCCCCCCGGAGATACGGAGGATCCCGGATCTGCGCACCTTCCGCCACACGCTTAAGACTCTTCTATTTCATCAAGCTGGCCTGGCCTAAATCTTCCCCCTTTTAAATGTGGAAATTTTATAATAATTTTTAATTATAGGGTCATGGGTAAGGTGTTTTAAATTGGGGAGCCATTTTGGATTTAATTTTGTTTTAAACATATTTTAATATTTATATTGTATGTTTTTAATCTTGGCTGAGTCCTTCAGGAGAGGGGGCGGTATAAAAATTTAATAAATAAAAATAAATAAATAAATAAAAAGAATCAAGCCACCTTCTTTAAGGGAGATATGCATAAGAATGGGAGACTGGTGGAAAGCTGCTCTTTCTACAGATCTGTCAATCATGAAAGCTGTCTATATAACCAGCAAGCCTAGTACTATAGATGTTGGGTATTATTCATTCAAGATACATGACCCTTAACCTACATTAGGAAAGCACAGTTGCACATGATATGCCTGGCATATGACGGCTTAAGATGTCCATGTTCCTGCAACATTCTATAACCATGGCTAGGTTGCCCTAATGGGCTGGGTGATAAAGTACCCGAAACTCCATTTAGCTTTTACTAGTGGGTTGGTCCAGGGGTGAAATCTACTTACTTTCCCTACTGGTTTGGAAGTGCACGCTCCACGCGTCATTTGCGTGCTTGGGCCCTCAGTTTTCTGCACATGCACAGAGGGTCAAAAACAGGTTACTTCCTGATTAAAACCAGGAAGTAATGACATCTAGGTGGATGGGCAGAGCCTCCCATTGCCTCCGCTACCAGTTCTCCAAACCATGCGCCACCGCCGAACCTGTCCGAACCGGTAACATTTCACCCCTGGTTGGGTCTCTCCATCTGAACAGAAGGTTCAAGAGTCTCCTGAAAGTGCTGCTGACTCACAGCAAGATCAAACAATAACTTTTGAAGGCACCTTTGGTTTTTAAATAGTGTTCCTCAGTCTATCTATCTAAAATAATCTAGAAGTTCTGTTTACTCCTACAGATCTGCTGTGCTGTTTACGTCTTTTAAGGCATCTTATTTTATTATCATTGACTCAGAGTGTGGTTGTCAAACCTGATTTATCAGAGTCCTGTTCTGTGTGACCTTTAAAGTACAGCATGTTATAGCAGCAAACTCTCTCTTTTTTTCCAGTAACATGAAATGAATCAGATGACACAGCAATGCCCTTCTAAATTTATGAGGCGATCTGTGTAGCTACGAACAGTTCACCATTTACATTTCAGGCATAGAGTGTGTAAGATCATGCCTAGAAAAGTTTCTGTCTTCTGGATTACAGATCTCTGGCACTTATTGGAGCAACTGGTTCGCAAAATGCACAAAAATCTCCTTGGCACTCTTGAAAATAACAAGGAAACAGTAGGTTGAGGGGTCCTTGGTGCCCTCTGAGCTTGGTTGTTTTCTTGCAGACGTTTCATTACACAAACTAGGTAATATCATCAGTGCTAAAAGGGAGGGAGGAGGAGGAGGAGGAGGAGGAGGACGACGATGACTGTGGGGTCCTTGGTGCTCTCTGAGTTTAGTTGTTTCCTTGCAGACACTCCATTACTGAAACTAGATGACATCTCAGTGCTACAAATATTCTCTTTTATTGGGAACAGTAGGTTTTTAAGCCTTGCTTTAAATTGGCAATGAACTCATTGCATTTATTATTATAGTATTATTAAGGTTTGTCGCACAGTCAGCCAGATGTTTAGAGTGGATTTGGCATTTTGATCCACCTGTCAAGTCCTACCCAGTGACCTGGAACAGGCAGATGTTGCTTGATGGCATCATCACAAAATGTGAGCTTTTTCCAACTAAAGCTGTTATTTGCAATCAACCGATGGTGATTTTGTCAGTGATGTTGGTGTTGAAGTGGTGCTCCAGATGTTTTGGGATTGCACCCAAGGCGCCAATACTATTGGTATTATATTTGCTTTCTTTTGCCATAGCCATTTTACTTCTATTTGCAAGTCTTTATATTGTCTTTCTGTTATTATGTACACAACAATGTGCAGTTCTTTAGCTGGGGTTGGCCTTCACATTGCCTGCATTTAATCCTTACCCCAAACATAGGAAATTGCAATGTATTTGCATAGTTTAAGTGCAGATCCAAGCATTGTGGCCTCTTGCTACTGACAGATGGAAATTTTGACAATATAGAGATTTTTTTAAATGCTGTCCAAGATTTTTTGGGTATGGCACCTAGTGGTGCCAACTGGCACCAAAGGACCAGTTTGTGGCCAGTTTATGCCACAATCTTTCAACCTCAGTTTTCAGACCTTAATTTTTTGTAATCTTCTCCAATTCTTTGTCTTTTGTTCTACTATCCCCTGGTGGTATTATTATTATATACTTTATTCATTAAACATGAAACTCAGTTCATGTTTGAACATTCAAACTGAACATTCAAAAATGCATCACAAATACCATTGACTGGTGCTAATGGTTGATACAGGTTGCTGCCAGCATCCTAGATATCAACCAAGTACTTTCTTAAGATGTACGATGTTCCAAGTAGCGCAGTTTTTTGCAGTTCTGCTGGTGTTATTGCAGGAAGCTGCAATTTGTTGATGTATCTTATAAAATTCTTGGAAATGGTACCAAGTGCCCCAATGACAATAGGTATCACTGTTACATGTTTCATCCATAATCACATAGTTTTGGTGGCCAGGTCGCAATATTTTGTGATTTTTTCCAGTTCTTTTTCTTTGACTCTGGTATCTCCTGGTACGCAATGTCAATAAATTGTACGTTTTGGTTTTCAACAACTGTGATATCTGGCGTGTTGTGTTGCAAATGACAATCCGTCTGTATTCAAAAGTCCCCAAGATCTTCACCTTCTCATTTTCTATAACTTTTTCCATTTTATGTTCCCGTGACTTTTTGGATACAGGTAAGTTGTATTTTTTACATAATGACCAGTGGATTAATTTAGCAACTCAGTCGTGTCTAGCTTTGTAATCAGTTTGTGCGATTTTGCTGCATTCACATATTAAATGTGAAGCAGTTTCGACTTCGTTGTTGCAAAGTTGGCAGTTTGGATTGTCGGTGGATTTTTGTATTTTTGCCTTCATGGCATTAGTTTGTAGTGCTTGTTCTTGAGCAGCGAGTATTAAACCTTCTGTTTCTTTCTTGATGGTTTCCATCTTAAGCTATGCCCATGTAAAGTTGTCATCATATTTTCCTTCAATGTTTTTCTATGCAAAGCTTTGGTTTTCCATCTATTTAATCTGTCATCCAGCTGTTTTCCCTTATATTCTGCTTTATATACTATCCCCTGGTGGTATTATTATTATTATTATTATTATTATTATTATTATTATTATTATCATCATCATCATCATCATCATCATCATCATCATCATCATCATCATCCATACATTTCTGAGTTGTGAGTAGAAATCTTCAATGCAAAAAAAAAAAAAGAATGCAATCAAGCACTGTAATAATAGCATTAAAAGAACTGAAAACTACATTTATTTTGCAGGACAGCAATGGCATATGCAAATCCAAAGATGAATAGTTTTCTGAAGAACCCAATAAATTTTTGCTTAATGCTTAAAAGAACCATATGAAGTGGTCATAGCAAAGATGGACTTCCACCATAAGATATTTCTTGCTTTTGGTTCACATTTTATTTATTTGTTTGTCTGTAAATGTAAAGTTTCCCTATCCAGTCATGTTCGACTCTAAGGTGAAGTGCTTATCTCTGTTTCTTGGCCAAGGGAGTCTAAAGACAATTTCCCTGGTCATGTGGCCAGAATGGCTATACATCAAAGGTGCACAGAATGCTGTTACCTTCCCACCAAAGTGATATCTGTTAATCTACTCACATTTGCATGTTGTCAAACTGCTAGGTGGGAAGGAACTGGGGTAGGTAACGGGAGCTCACCCTGTTGCATGGCATTCGAGTCTCAAACCCAGGCTGTCTGTTTCTCAGCTGACATGTTTCTCTGTATCCTGCTTTCATTATTGTTACAGATAACTCAAGGCAGTGAGCATATCCAACACACCTTCCTCCTCCTATTTCCCCACAACAACAACCCTGTGAGCTGGGTTGGGATAAGAGAGAGTGACTGACCCAAAGTCGCCTCCCATCCTATGGAATAGCTCACCCTCTAGGACAAAGATGGCCCACTCTGAGGGCTTTGGGGAAAGCTGAAATATTGGGTTTTCAAAGAAGAGGGGATTGGCTTCTTCTCTAGGGCACCAGAGGGCAAGACAAGAGGTAAGTGTGGAAGCTTATCAAAGAGAGATCCAACCCAGAAGGTGAATTTTTCTGACAGTGAAAACAACTAATCAATGGAATAGCTTACCTCATGGGGCTGTGGGCGCTCCATCACTGGAGGCTTTTAAGAATAGACTGGAGAACCATTTGACTGGGATAGTATAAGGCTCCTGCCTTGTGCAGGGGGTTGGGCTAGAAGACCTCTGAGGTCCCTTCTGGCCCTATAACTCTATGAAATCGATTTTGAATCCCCTTGTGCAAGATTTAGTTTTGCTAAATTTATAGACTCTATTTTTATGCTATTATCATTGTAATTATATATATATGGTGAACTGCTTGAAGTCCAATTGAATTGGGGTGGCCAGTAAATTTAATAAATTAATAACACCCTTGGGTCCATTTTCATTTTTCTCTAAGGCTGGAAGGAGAATGGGGAGAAGAAAGGAGGAAGAAAGGAGTGTGATTTGAATATGCACCTGGCTGAACCTGAGAGGGCACAAGCTTCCTACTTGTGGAACGAACCCAGTAATTAGTCCACCACCATCATTGCTGATCTGTTGCCCTCTTCAGACCGAGTTTATCATGCCAACTGCCACCTTTGAAACCACATCAAAGCCGAGCCTCGCCTAATGTTTGTCGTCTGTGTTTTTCAACGCCTGCAAAAGAACACTGCGTACTTCTTATTTTTTACGTCCTCTCCTTTTTTTGCAGGGACAAAAGGGCTTAAAGAATAAACAAAATGTCAGTAACTTGGGGTTTTCCTGAATTGATCTTCATCTTCTCTACTATTATATGGCCCTTCCTCGCTACTGCAACCAGGGCTCTGTCTTTCTTCAGTTGGCAGAAAATTAAATCTGAATGAAATTTGATAGCTCGGTTGCTGCTTCTGTCCTGCTTTGGGCCCAGTTCTTGCAATCCCTGATTTGTTCCCGAGGGAAGGAATGACAGAGCCTAACCATTTTACCATCTTGTAGCTGTCTCTGCAAAATAAGGAGAACATCAATAAGGGATGTATACCATTTAAGTTTAACCCCACTACAACTAAGGGTGACTCCAGCTGTCTCTGACCCTGGAAAGTATGCAGAGAAGAGCAACAAAGACAAGGGGTCTGGAGGCCAAATAGTATGATGAATGGTTGAGGGAACTAGGTTCCCTTAGCACTTAGCACTTAGACTTATATACCGCTTCACAGTGCTTTCCAGCCCTCTCTAAACTGTTTACAGTCAGCCTATGGCCCCCAACAATCTGGGTCCTCATTTTACCCATCTCGGAAGGCTGGAAGGCTGAGTCAACCTTGAGCCTGGTGAGATTCGATCTGCCAAATTGGAGGCAGCCAGCAGTCAGCAGAAGTAGCCTGCAGTACTGCACTCTAACCACTGCGTCACCTCGGCTTATAGTTTAACTATCTAGTTTAACAAAGAGAAAGACTATGGGTGATATGATAGCTGTCTTCCAGTATTCGAGGGATTGTCACAGAGAAGAAGAGAGCGACTTATTCTCCAAAGCATCAGACGGAAGGATAAGAAGTAATGGGTGGAAGCTTGTCAAAGAGAAATCCAATCTAGAAGTAAGTGAGAACAATTAATCAATGGAATACTTATCTCTCAGAGTTCTGGATGCTCCAAAACTGGAGGTTTTCAAGAATAGACTGGGCAGCCATTTGACTGGGATGGTATTATAAGTTCATCTCCCTTGAGCAGGGGGTTGGACTAGAAGACCACTGAGGTCCCTTACAGTCCTGTGTTTCTATGTTCACTCCTGGACTGAGGAGGAGAAGGGGTCATGGAGACAAAGCAGGAAAAGCATGCATTAGGAGACCCTAAGCAACCCTCAGCTTAAGTCAACCCTTAAACTGACTCTTCATTTGTGCTCATTGAACAAAGCAGAAGTTCAAGTCTAAATATCATTGTCACCCCGTCTATCCAAATTTGCTAGTTTTAATAGTGCAAGGAAAACCAATTCTTTCTTCCTTTTTCTTCCCAAGCATGCTTTCTGTCCCAGTTAAACATTGCCAAGAAATATATATAATAATAAGAGACAATAACCACAGAAGGTCAGGTTTGGACTTCTGTCCAAGTATGGTTGCCCTCCCAGTTGAGTTTCTTTCCCTAATTTAGAATTCTCTAAAATATCAGAATAATAGAGTTGGAAGGAACCTTGGAGGTCTTCTAGTCCAACCCACTGCACAGGAAGGAAACTTTATACCATTTCAGACAAATGGTTGTCCAATCTCTTCCTAAAAATCTCCAATGTTGGAGCATCCACAACTTTGGAGACAACTTGTTCCACTGATTAATTGTTCTAACTGTCAGGAAATTTCTCCTTAGTTCTAGGTTGGATTTCACTTTAATGCTCTTCCACCCATTGATCCTTGTCCTGGCCTTAAGTGCTTTGGAACATCTTCTTTGTGGCAGCCCCTCAAATATTGGAAGACTGCTATCATGTCACCCCTGGTCCTTCTTTTCATTAGACTAGACAAATCCAATTCCTGCAACCATTCTTCACATTTTTTTTTCAACCTCCAGGGCCCTAATCATCTGTGTTGCTCTTCTCTGTACATTCTAGAGTCTCAACATCTTTTTTATATCGTGGCGACCAAAACTGGATGCAATATTTCAAGTGTGGTCTTACCAAGACATTTATTCCTATCTTTTCCACTTTTAGATAGTGAGGGGCCTGGTCTCCCCACCCAACTCATGTCACCAGGAAGCTGCATGAGGAATTACCTTCAAGGAGAAATGTGTTGTTGTTTTCATCAGAGAGACAAAAATGTGTACCTGCAGACACTCAGCAGAAGTGTGGTGTGGATTTGCATGTGGAAACATTTCTGAACAGACTTTCCCAATAGCGCAGAATACTTCCTGATAGGGATTCCTGGAACGAGCTCTGCTGAAAACATCCATGTCACGAAATGTTTGGGGCAGAAGTATTTTGAAAGGGCATTGGGTGCATCTGTTAGACATTCTCTAAAATGTATTAACATCGTGTAAATGTAGGTAATATTATCAGTGCTAGACAAAAACACACAAAAAAAAAAAACCCTGTTCACCAGCAATGAATATCTAGATAAACAATTACTGTAAGTTCGAATCTCACCAGGCTCAAGGTTGACTCAGCCTTCCATCCTTTCTAAGGTAGGTAAATTGAGGACCCAGTTTGTGGGGGCAATAAGCTGACTTTGTATAAATATACAAAAGTATATTTTACAATTGCTTAACGCATTGTAAGCCGCCCTGAGTCTCCGGAGAAGGGCGGCATATAAATCAAATTTTTTAAAAAACCACGAAAATTAAAATGAAGATTAACAACCAAGCAACGATACTCCATTCAAGGAACTACCAATTCAGCAAACAATCAAATTAACAACAGCCTAATCAAGGAACCACCAATAACTCTCCCACCAACGCTGACAGGGAAAGCTGCTGTATCTAAACAGAGAGGAAACCCCACTCTCTTCTAGCACTGACAAGGTTGCCTAGCTGGGTAATGAAACGTCTGCAAGAAAACAACCAAACTCAGAGAATATCAAGGGATCCACAATTCAACCCTGAGCTATTAATAGTGTCTTGTATTCAATTTTGTTGATGATTATGAGCAGCCATGTAAAAGTATCCATGGGACCACAGAATGCTTCTATTTGCAATTTTATCTTTTTATTGGACGTCATTTCTACTCTGCTTTCCTTGTCCAGTCAGCAAGTTCCCCTCCCATCTGATTTTCCTTTCCTTTCCTCCCCTCCCAGCTATTTCATTCCATCGCTCTTCCCAGCCCATTTTTAGACCTCACCTTGTCCTCATTTTTGTCACTGAGTAATCATTAGATTTCTTAATTTTTCCATTACATTGCGTTCCCCAGAACATAGTCATATCCATGCAAATTTCAGAGTTACCTAATGCTTACTGATTTTTTCCTCCTTGGCTGCACAGAGTACAGCTTTGGTTATGTTTGTACAAATATGGAGAAAAGTAAACCAGTTTGAGAAAGAAGAGTCCTGCCGGTGGATGCAATTAATGGATCTTTCAAACAAAGCAGCTGAAACTAAAAATGACGTATATGGTCATTTGTAAAAGTAAACTGCTCTGATGGAGTAGATCTGCTCCTAAAAGGATTGTCATTGGGCAAAGAAATTCTCTTGCATTGTTTTCTATCAATTCTTATTCAGCGTTGGTTGAATTCGAAACAGAATTTCCTTCTGAAATTTTGCTTTGCAGATTCTCATGGAGTGAGTACGTCATTCAGTCTAATGTCAAGCAGCCTTGTCTACATTTAAGATGCTCTCACACTAATTATTCACTTGTGTTTTGGTATTTATTTGCTGATGAGGTTGCCAAGGAGGGGTGGGCATATCTTATATTTTACAATATACTGAGATACTAAGGGACCCTCCCTAGTTTTTGGACTGTATAGAAGAGGAGGGGAAGATTTGTATTTTCAGACTGGAAATATTCTATGTAATTTTACAATTAAGTAAAATTAGTTCATCTGGTCGTGTTTTCTGTCTGGTCTGCCTAGTAAGGTTGACATCAGTCTTTCAAGTCCAATTTGCACTGGACTATCAGAAGCTGAAGGGACCATGTCATAAATCCCAGGTTGTGAAGGAACTGTCCTATAAGCCAGTGTGTCTTTCACCAGAAGACATTCTGAAGTTCACATGCCTTCTCTAAAACATGCCCCCAGTGCCAACTGGCTGACTCAGAAAGGGAAAATCTTATAGGCTGATTTGAATGGACACTTGTGATATTGTCCCCACTGCTTTCTAAAACATTATTCCACCTAGAGCAGGTTTCTAGATTTGACCAAATCATGTTTTGTTTTTTTTTAAAAAGTAATTGAATGCTGAATCCAGTGTTTCAACTTGACTCTTTTTCTGACCAAAATTATTCCTTTTCAGCTTTCTTCTTACAAACTTAAGATTTTTGGTCTACATATCTTTTGTCTTCTTCGAAGGTAAGACCGTTTTTGCATGATGAGTATGACAATTTATTTTTATTGTATATTTCATTTGCATGCAACCATTTCTCCTGAATAAGGAACATGTTAAACATTTTTGGTCACGTTTTCATCAATTTTGACCAAATTTAGGATCAGCAGTAAACAAAACTTTTACTTTTAAAACTTTTAAAGTTTTATTTTTCTTGCAAAACTTTTCAGCTTTAGATATACTTTTTGAAACAACTTATTTCTGGGTATTTGAAAATCAAATTGAAAAGGCCCAAGGGGAGAAGCGCTCTAACTTTGAGAATATAAGGAATTTTATCAATTTCCTGTGTAAAGTCTGAGGGTTCTCTTCGGCCAGGCAGGAACAACATTGTGTAAATAAAAAGTGGTATAGTCTTGAATGACTGGCACAAATTCCGTCAGGAACAATGCCTGATTTTTTTTTAAAAAGGGAAAAGAATGATCTGAGGCTTTATTTATACAATGTCTCACCAGTTGCCATCAAGTTCATCACATTTGGCTGATAATATTAAGCTAAAAAAATAGAAGCGGCATTAAACTTGGGTTTGATTTAATTTCCCCAGATTCTAGGTTAACCTGGCAACCTTTATAAGGTATTCCAGAGCCAAATTATGAAATGCAATGCTGCTAGTCCTTGACTTACAACCCTTTGTTTAGCAACTCTTCAAAGTAACAACGAAACAACCCCAGAGTTACGTGATCAAAATTCAGGTATGAATTTATAATGGTTGCAGCATCCTGGGGTCACATGACTGGCA